ATAATAATATTATTATATTATATAATATGTACGCGTGGTAACGTGCAACTGGATAGCCGCAATTTGACGGTAGAGATAGCACAATCATTAATTGTGTGATACCAGTTATTATATTGCAATTGTTATTAAGTCACATTATGCAAGAAATATTTCACTGCTAATTAATTAAGTTTAATCTATTAGAATGCACAATAAGTGGCATAGATTTCAATGTTTATTGAAACGTACATTATGTTTATACAATGAGGCCCTGCTACATTAATATATAATTATGCTTAATTCTAAATTTGCAAATTCAATTTGCATATTAACTTGGTTGCTGAATTTGCGAACTTTCGGTAACCTAAATGCGTGTATTAAATTTCCTTAATACGTGCATCATTATTCGTACGTTTAATGTTGTTACGCGAGCCTGCTTAATAAATAGAATGTTTTTACGGCACCTGATGTAAATATACATATATGTACTTGCTGCGATATAACGTAGTAGCACTTAATGTACTAAATGCATTACGAAAAGCGTGCCATTAATCCACATTATGCAAGTTAATGCGAAAATTGCAGCCTGGATCGATGTAACTGCATTTAACATAGTTAAAAACGATTCTTTCTTCTTATCGATAGTTAAACGTAATTATATATCAAATTCCAACACGATCGTTCTTTTTTCATCAAAGTAACAAGAACAGAAACATGCTGAAACAATGGGAGGAAAGAATAATTTAAATATAGAATGAATAATTTCTAGGTGGAATTAAATATCACATGTTTCATAAATTTCGTTCAACAAAGTGTTGTTCTTACAAAGTTCTGTTAATGTAATATTTACCACAAACAAAGGCATATATTACGTATACGTGTATATACTTTTGTAGATGAAGTATCTGTGAGTTTGCTGTTTAACAATTATATACTTATTACGAATTATAATATACACACGTCATAAAATGATTACAACGATTAGGTATGTGTGGTGAAATTTCTCTTAATACTATTATTGTCTCGTCATTGTTCACTTTCACGCTTTTCATAACAAACGTACAATAACACGCATTCTAGATTTTCCACTTGCACTTCCAAAAAATTCGAGCCATCGCTCGACCTCACACACTCGCATTCACACTAATAAAACCAAATCCACAGTATAAACATCGATAATAAGTACAATGCTTCGAGTTTATTTTCCAGAAAGAAATTAAAAATATTTAACTATAATTTAAATAAGCTAATGTCATAATGCCTATTAAACAAATCAATTAATCCTGTTACACGTGGAAAATCGTGATAGAAATATTGCAAAGATAGGAATCTGAATTCGTTTCTCATTTTTTCAATCACCTAGGTAAAAAATAAAAATTTTAATTAAAACAAGAATAATTCAAAAAATAATTTTAATTAAAAAGATTTTAATTAAAATTTTTCCCTTTATTACACGTGACTAAAAATTTACTCACGAAGGTGACAAATTATACCAACCCAATAGTTTTCTAAAAATTTTCGACACATTTACAATGTAAAGTAATTTTCGTAAAGGATAGAATATTTTATGAAAATTTTCGTAGATATTGGGAATATTTCGCGTCTCTTGGTCTAGTGACTCATCGCCTGTTATAATTCGCAAAACGTTGTTACGACATTGATTCTTCCTCGACCACGTAAACGGATTCGCTGCAATCGCCACGGCCAAGATCTTCATCAAGGCAAACTTCAATGATACGGCAAGCCTTGGCAATTATGTAAGAGAAAATCGTGTTATCGGTCGATTGAATGGAGCACGTAAGCACAGTATGTCGTGAAAAGCTCGAAACTTTCTGCATATCTTTTACACAAACTGTACCATTTCTTATTATAAGTAATATTATTTAAGTATTAATATTATAGTAATAATATTAGTAATAATTTAAGTAAATATTAAGTTTAAATAATAATTTAAACCTTCGAGTGCACACTCTTGAAAATAATTCTTCTACACAACTACACGACTTTTTTAATCCCTTAAATATATGGAGACATAAGGTAAATTTCGTCGATACAGGCTATAAATAACCACGTGTAAAATACATTCGAAAATACCGATATCGAAGGTATAATATCGGTAATAAAAGAGTTTATTAAATTTCATTTATGTAGCATAGTAACGTCAAAGGATGAAGAGGTACGATACCGTAACCACAAAATGTATCGATATTCGATTCCTGTAAGAGATAATATTGATATCGTGAAAAGGTATTCATCCGGTCATATTTACTAACAAATTACAATTATGTATAATAAATCACGTATTAAAATTAATAAAACGCGATTTATCCAAGTACTTACTAGTTTTAAACGTATTTAATTTATGAGATAATTTGGAGATATTGGAGAGATAATGTGGATATAACATAAATATAATATAATCCGATATATTAATAATAGCATAATAAATCTAATATAAAATATAACAAATAATATACTAAATAATAATATTAATATA